ATTTAGAATGAATATAATTGGTGGAAGGGTGCGGGGAGAATAAAAAAAATTGAATATAATTTTCCCATCATAAAACAACAATGGTTCTGTTTATATGTCTCTTGCTAAACTTAATTCTGTATTGGCTTAAGTGCAAGCTTGATCAGAGATACTAGTAGGGGGACTCTTCCATGAGCTCTGGTCCTGTTGTACAAATTGGTCTCTAATTAAGGAAGATTTTTCCCCTAAGGGTTATACACAGAATCTTACTCTATTAATTAGTTTCTGGGCTTTTGTCCCTATGAACTTTGGCCAGCCTTTCACCCCCATCTGCGAACACGCTCTGGGAATCCCACACACCCACACTTTCTGGGTGAGGAGGGAGATAAGTGGCTCCCGTTCAGGCTGCATCTGACTTAGCCCTGACCCTCAAGGGTCCTTCCCTGTCCACATGAACAGAAGGTAAGACTCCTATCCCCGGCCTTCTCCTAACCACAAAAGAAAGTTTCAGTTTCCTGAAAAGTCTTGTACTCCCTCTCATTGAAATCACTTTTCCGTATTGAGATTGGAAGGGAAACGAGAGTGAAAATGTCATAGGGGCCAGAGCTTTTCTACCTTGACTATGTCATTAAGCAACACACTCTACACCATGGAATTTAAGATGCCATCAACTCAAAGACATAGTGTTATTTTACGTCTGATATGGCTTGACTGTGTCCCCACCCAAATTTCATTTTGAATTGTAGCTCTCATAATCCCCACATGTTGTGGGAGAGACTGAGGAAGGTAGTTGAATCATGAGGGTGGGTTTTCTCTGATAGTCTTGCGATAGTGAATAAGTCTCATGAGGCCTGATGGTTTTATAAAGGGGAGTTCCCCTGAACAAGTTCTCTTGCCTGCTGCCATGTAAGATGTGCCTTTGCTCCTCCTTCACCTTCCACCATGATTGTGAGGCCTCCCCAGCCATGTGGAACTGTCAATCCATTAAATCTCTTTTCCTTTATAAATTACTCAGTCCCAGGTATGCCTTTTGTTAGCAGCATGAGAACAGACTCATACAATGTTCCACAGGAAAAAAGAAAGCAGCCAATTAAACTGTGACAATAATTGATTGAAGAAAATGTGCATCCTAGAATCAGTGAAATATGTAGCACAGTGATTACACATACAGGACTTGGAGTCAGGCTGCTTGGGTTTGAATCTCTGCTCTGTTATTTAATGTTTGACTTTGGGCAAGCCATGTAACCCCTGTAACTCAGTTTCCTGATCTGTTGGGATGACTCAGAGTAGAGTTTAGTGGCATGATCATAGCTCACTACAGCCTCAAACTCCTGGGTTCCAGCAATCTTCCTGCCTCAGCCCTCTTGAGTAGCTGGGACTACAGGTGTACCCAGTTAATTTTTTTTTTTTTTTTATAGAGATGGGGTCTCACTATGTTGCTCAGGCTGGTCTCAAATTCCTGGCCTCAAGTGATCCTGGTGAACATTTTTTATTTTACCACTCTGGAGGTCAGAAATCTAAAACTCAGAATGTCAGCAGGGCTGTGTTCCTTCTGGAGGCTCTAGAGAAGAATCTGTTTCCTTGCTTCATTTTATAGTTTCTAGAGGTTTCTGCATTGCTTGGCTTGTGGCCCCTTCCTCAAATCACTTCAGCCCAGTTTCTTGCTTTTATTGTCACATCTCCAACTCTTCACTCTGATCCTCCTGCCTTTCTTTTATCAGAACCGTTCAGAGTCCTCTGAGTCCACCTGGGTAATTCAGGATAATCTCATCTCAAGATTCCTAACTTAATCATACCTGCAGAGTCACCTTTTTCCATGTAAGGCAACTTTCACAAGTTCCAGGGATAGAATGTGTATATTTTTGAGGGGCCATTATTCAACTTGCCCAGACATGATAAAATTTGTATTACAAAATTTATGGAAGAGGAGAGAATGAAGTAAGGAAGACCAGTTAAGTGATTAATACTCCAGATAAGGGACGATCAGGTCGTAAACCAAGACAGTCACAGTGGGGGGAGAAAGGTAGAGTCAGATGGCAGATGTTGGGAGGTAGATTTGTTCTCAAAGCGTTATTCTGAGCAATAGGATTTCTGACAAGCCCCCAGGTGGTACCCATGCTGCTGGCTCTTGAACAATAACTTGAGTGGGAAGGTCCTGGGGAACACCAGCCTTCAAGGGGTGTCAAGAGGAAGCCAAGGCCAGGTACGTTGGCTCACACCTGTAATCCTGGCATGTTGGAAGACTGAGGTGGGAGGGTCAATTGAGGCCAAGAGTTCAAGACCAGCCTGGGCAACATAATGAGATTGCATCTCTACAAAAAATAGAAAAAAAAAAAATTAGATGGGCATAGTGGTGCATACCTATAGTCCCAGCTACTCATGAGGCTGAAGCAGGAAGATCGCTTGAGCCCAAGAGTTCTAGACTGCAATGAGCCGTGATTATTCTACTGCACTCCAGCCTGGGCAACAAAGTGAGAACCTATCTTTACAAACAACAACAACCAAAGGAAGATGAAGAAAAAGAAGAAGAGGAGCGGGAGAAGGAAGAGGAAGAAGGAGAAGAAGCAGAAACATAAGAGACAGAGAGCATAGCTTCTGTGTAGAAGTATCCCCAAGATAGGATGGTGTTCTGAAGCCCCCAGGGAAGGAGAGGATTTTCAGGAGAATGTGGTCAAGAGAGGAAAAGGAAGATGCTAAAAACTGTCCAAAAGATTTGGCTACTAAGTCACTGGTGTCCTTAAAGAGAGCGGGTTTGGTGGGGTGGTGGGAGCCCAAAGTCTGTACCATTTTGCTCTACCTTCCCTGAATACATTCTGTTCAGCTATATTCATCTAAAAATGTGGGGCTGGGTTACAGAGAGGGGCAGAGGTTCAAGGAACACTCCCTCTTAACTCCAGCAGCAGCTGTGCTGTCACGGGAGCTCAAAGCCATGTCATGTAAGTTTACGGGCCTGTTTGTGGCTCTGAATGTGCTGCCATCTCCACCTGTGAGCTTATTTTGGGACATGCAAACTATTTATTTGCCAAAGTACACAACAGCAGACAGCACGAAATAATGGATCTCATGAATATTCTACACCTGCAACAGCAACTCCAAATGCCTAGCTTAGTGGGCTGAAGGAAGAAGGGCGCTTCAGGTGAAGACTGATGTCCACTTGCCTACTTATTCAGTTTGCTCTTCCAGGGGTTCCGTCAGGCAGAATTATTTTCTTTTGGTGTTATATTCTTTCTTATCTTTTCCGCCCTATGCATTAAAAACAGATTGTGTTTTTGTTTGTTTGAGGTGTACACTGACCTAAAGTTATGGAATTGCAATTTGGGTCATAAACTATAATCCCATAATTTTAATAGAGGCCATGACTCTAAGAAAACATTAATGATTGATTGCTGGCTTGTCTTGATATTTTCTACTTAGATGTTCTTCTGTCTGTCTACACATCTAGTCTTTTAAAACAGCACGGTTGCACATTTGTTAAGGTATAAGAAGGTCTAACTTGTTCTTTTCTGTATATGACCTACCAACTATGACCTTCCAAAGCAGAAAGGAGATATCTACAGTATTATGGTGAAGATTTGTGCAGGAAAATACTCTGAAAGAGTGAAAATGGAAACTGGAAATCCACTGTCTCTGTTTCTCTACTGTTTTAAAAGGAAACAACCACTTAAAACTGGATTTTCTAAAAGGAAAAAATTAAGTAAAAATAAAAGCTAATTTTAGTTTAGGTTGTGTTTGTTCATTTGCATATTCCCTTTTTCCCATTTGTTGGAATCAGAGAAAAATAACAGTCCTCTAACCTTTTGACTTAAACACAATTTGGTATTTTAGTTGGCTCATCCTTTGATTGTCAAAATTTTCCTTAAAAAAAAGAAACAATTTTCTCTACCCACTTTGAGATTGATGTGTTCAGTTCTATTCCACTGCAGTGGCATTTTAAAAAATTTGATTTGACGTCACAATTACTCTATCATTAGAACGCTGGATTCAAACAATCACTTCATTTCATTTTATCTGCTTCATAGACGATCACCAAAAAAAAATGCACTAGTCATCAAGGCCTTCTTGGTGCTTGTTTTGTCCACCTGGTGTATGGCTGATGACTTTAACAAACAAAGAAAAGTACACTGAGATAAGTAAACGGTCTCTTTGTGATATTTGTATTGCAGCCAGCCTGAAATAGAGAAATGGCAAGAGGAGAGTAGCTGCTACTATTGATTGGAAACAGACAACATTGGACACAGGGTTCTGTGAACTCCATTTGGGCTGGCTCTGTCAGTCCCCATCTCTCTGGGAGACTGGGGTTATTATTCTCCTTTTCTAGAAGAGAAATCTGAAGCTCAGAGCAGCTAGGTAGACTCTTCCGGGTCACAAATATTGTATATTTCATTGAATATTTGAAGTCATTGGTTGTACTGATTTATGTACCATGAAGTAAGAAAGATATACCACCACAATTATAGCACAGTAATTGTTTATTCCTTAGAATTTTTATTGCCTACCTATTGGAAAAGTTTCTTGGCTACGCTCAGTGGTTCATGCCTGTAATCCTAGTACTTTGGGAGGCAGAGGTGGGCGGATCACTTGAGACCAGCCAGGACAACATGGCGAAACCCCATCTCTACAAAAAATACCAAAAATTAGCTAGGTATGACTGTGCACGCCTGTAGTCCCAGTACTCCGGAGGCTGAGGTGGGAGGATTGTTTGAGCCTAGGAGGCGGAGGCTGCAGTGAGAAGATTGAGCAACTGCACTCCAGTGTAGATGACAGAGTGAGACCCTGAAAACGTTTTTAAACATATTTTGGCATGGATTTCTCTCATATACATCTCTTGCGAATATGTAATAAGGCAAGTTGAAATAAATCAGTTATTTACGAAACTTCACAATCGGAGTCTGACTCTTCTAAATTATTTTGCAACTTGGAGTCATCAAGTTTGTGTTTGGCTGCACAGGATCATCCTCTTTGCCAACGAGAGTGCTGGTGATGTAGCATTTCCTAAGAAAGGTCTCCAGTCTTATCTCCAGGATTCTCTCCCCAGCCATTGTGGTTTCATGCCTTTGTACAGGCAGTGACAACTAAGGCTGACTGCTGCTGGCTGACAGCGATTGTGGGCTGTAGTATGACTTCAGAAATATTCAAATGTGAGTAAATATATATCTTTAGGTTGAAATTTAGGTCTGTGTATCTCTTAACTCAGGCACAGAAAAGAGGCCTGTGCCGTTTCCAGTCCCATCATAGCGCAGGAGCAGGTGCTGGGTTTGATCTGAACTCTGACTTCTGCTCCTGACCTTTCACTCACATGTTAATACCACCTATTTTCCCTTTCAAACCTCGGATGGAGGCAGCTTGGTGAACCTTTGGGGGAAAAGGAAAATTCAAAACCAAATGAAGAACTTTCTTTGGTTGTTGCTGTCAAAAACTTCCCTGATGATTTCAGCAGAAGTTCTCTGGAGCAGACAGTTGCACAAACATCTGAATCAAGTGTGTTCTGTCAGAGTCACCAGAGTGTGAAGATTCTGCTGTTTGGTTCTGTGCAAAGAGATTGGTTAAGAAAATTGTGAAGTATCCCAGACGCAGGCGGCTGTCGCTCTGACGAAGCGACTGTATTGAACTTCCTTGGGACGCCCGCCTCTGATTGCTGCAGGTATAGCCACTGCTTGTAGCCAGGGTGGGCTGAAAAGTACCACAGTCGGCTGTGGAAAAAAGCCTCATGTCCATAGGTTTTAGAGTGGAATCTGTGTCATCATAACTGAACTGTAGCACATAATTCAGTCTGCTGGGGTGGATGCCCCCTTTGCCTAACACTCAGGAAGCATCACACTAAGAGAAGTCATCTAAGATGCTCATGTTTTGTGCATGAAAGTACATCTGTATATATTTTCCATTTGCTCTTTTCAGTTTTCTTTGAGCATGGGAGTTTGTTTATTTGTTTTATATTTTGGCAGCTAGGGACCAAGATATTTCTTTTCTGTGCCTTCTCCAACTCTTTGTAGAGTTTAACAAGTCAAATACAAAACTCAGGGGAGTTAGTAAGCCTCGTGATGGTATTGTGCATAGCATCACATTATTGATTGGATATACTGCATTGGAATGCTGTAGAAGAGCCCCAGACCAAAAAATTTCAGATGCCTGAAGCTTTGAGCTTTCCAATTAGGCTGAAAGGTTCCCCTGATAACCAGTAGTGCTGAAGCTTTTAATATTGTTTAGCTCTATCAGTTATCAGCAACATTTTCTAGTTATGGAGGCCAGAGGATCACCTGATGTCAGCAAGGTAGCTCATCTAATCTACTTGCCCCCTTTCTAATCAAGTATTCTATCTGGAAGAAAAGAAATTTTCAGTTTAACGTCAGCTGATCATAATTGCGAGCAAGTGCTTCTTTCCCTTCTTCTATGCTATCTCCTCCTGTGCAGTCTATTTTGCATCCAAAGATACATTTGAAAGTCAAAATCCCTTAGAGCTAAATATTCTAAACTGACAGAAGAATTTCTAGTGGCACACCAGCCTAGAGCCATGTTTTTATGAGGACATCACTTTCTATTTCTAAGCTTTACCATGCACTCTTGCTTTCTTAGTGCTGGGAGCCATGCCATATCAGCTTGCCTCCCTCTCAGCTTTTAATGTTTTTTTAATGGAGTCCAGTTTTCCATCTAAGTTATGGCTAGCTTTCTGACAAACCATCAGACACCTAAGTGACCATAATGGAGGTGTCCATATGTGACATGGCAGAAGGCTATGGCTAACTTTCGTGCCTTTAAACAAAACCATATTATAGCCTTTCATTTTTACCTGGCCACTGGGTTTGCCATAAAGGCTAAAATGGGGCTTAAGAAAACATTTTAAAAATTAATATATGATACGAAGTCTTTTCTTGTAAGCCACAAGCAAAAGCAATCATTTCTAAATCTGCCTGGCATGGTGAGTATGCTCTCTGTACAGTGAAACAGCAGGCAGGAGTGCTGCATGTTTTTCTGAAGCAAAGGATTGCTCAGGTAGCAATGAAGTTAGTTATCTAATGAAATAAGGCAAATGCACTTTGCAGATACCCAGTGGTTTAGAAGAATTTAGGAAAATAATTGTCAATTAAAAATGAATGGCGAATCATTGGAAATGCAAATTCATCAGGGAATACGGGCATTTCTATGATGAAGGAAGAAATATATCCTCTTGAAAGTCAACACTTTAGATGGCTTTATCTATACAATTTGGAAGACATTTGCAGAGCATTTGGTAATTAAATATGCCCTCAGCTGAGCAATAATGCCTGGGGTTGTCCTGCTGGCAAATAAAAGCTAAGCATTCTTGCTATGCCTGGGTTTTGAATCTCTGCTTGGAATCCTGTGAGTTGTCTGTGATACTGGTTATGAGGTTGTACAATCTATACAATAATGTGAGTAAATCAATCTTTACTTAAAAAAAAGCAGAATTCATTTTCCTAGCTTCTCAACAACTGGCTCTTCCTTGACAATCAGATTTTAGCTCAACATCTCCACCTATCCAAGGAAGCCTTTCCACCCGTTAGCCCACCCTATCTGACCACGTTCCTTTATTTTTATTTCAGTGATCACTGTCTGAAATGGTTTTCTTCATTTGTTTGCTGGTTTATTGAATGCCTCTGCCAAGGAGAAAATAAAGTCCTTGAGCGCAGGATGTTACCTGTCTCCTTCATGTCTGATTTCCCAGCCCTTGCAAGCAGTGCTGGCACATTGTGGGCTCTTCAATAAGGGAGGTTACATGAATAAATGAATGAATGAATGTATCAATCAATCAATCAATGAAAGAGTGCTGACTAGCATATAGCTCCAGAGGGAGTTATAGAATGTTGGATAGCTCATAGGCTTGGTATAAGATATGGACATACATGGAGCCTAAAATGAAGCCTAATGAGGGCAGCAACTACCTTTATGCCTGAAAAAGATCCCCACAACATCTGATATTTTACACTGTTGGGGGCTTATTAATGAGGATTTCTTGAAGAGGTGACCTGGTGTTGTAATTCCTGCCAGCAAGGATATAGGCATGTACTGGGGGCCACGTTCAGGAATCACAAGCCCACAGTAAGTCACCTGGATTGATGAGGACTGTCCTCTCCAGTGTGGGCAATTCTGTTCACTTGAAATTCCTTGAGCAAAGTCTTTTTCTTAAACAAAGAATAGAAAGGTATTTTGCCATGTGATTAATATTTTCGGTGCTTTCTCTTAAACCAATCCTTGCCTTTACATAGGTTAAAACTGTTCTTACCAGAAAAGCAGTTTGGCTGATGGAATCTGAGATTCATTAAAAAGATTAGTAACTTAAAAGAAAACAAAACCAAGAAACTTCTTTGAATTTGATGTATTTTATAGGAAGGGGCCTGGTTTGATGTTGCCCAGCTTAACTTTTATCCAAATTGCCCTTGAGGAATGTTTTTTAATCGGATGCATTTTTATCCGTATCTTCTGAAGTGACATTTTTTTCCCTCTTTTTACAGGAGGGTAGAGTAACATGGAAAGCGGAAAGCAGCTTTTATTCACTCCAAGGACAATGAACTGACATACAACGAAGGGCAGAATAAGTCTCTAGGTGCATAGATGAGCCTCAGGGTGTCATGGGTGTGTGTCTTACTTAGGAACCTCTTTAAAAATAATTACCTTGTGATTAGTATCTGATGCTAATGGTATATTTTCATTTAAAAAGTCTGAGGTCTTTATTTTCTGAGACAGCGAATGAACTTCTTTTCACCTTGTTGCTGGCTGTTTTTCCTCCATTGCCTTAATAGAGACTCAGGTTCATAGGCACATACGCTTCCCTGCAAATGGGAAATTTTCTAATAAAACAGTTTTCTCTTTCCATTATAATTCCAGTTGAGTGAAATATAAAATATTTAATAAGCCCCCTTTTTTATTTTTAAGGTATATATTTTCTGGGTGGTATATGCACTTAAAAAAGGAATGAGACTGGGCGTGGTAGCTCATGCCGATAATCTCAGCACTTTGGGAGGCTGAGGCGGGTGAATCATGAGGTCAGGAGTTCCAGATCAGCCTGGCCAATATGATGAAACTCTGTCTCTACTAAAAATACAAAAATCAGCCAGGTGTGGTCGCATGTTCCTGTATTCCCAGCTACTCAGGAGGCTGAGGCGGAAGAATCACTTGAATCTGGGAGGCAGAGGTTGCAGTGAGCTGAGATTGCGCCACTGCACTCCAGCCTGGGCAACAGAACGAGACTCTGTCTCAAAAAAAAAAAAAAAAAAGAATGAACATTTTCTTATGGATTCTATTTAATGCTTCTGTTTAATATGGTTACCAGGGGAAGCCCATCTGGAGGAAGGATTTATAGTTTTAACTAAAATGTGAGAAATGGAGATAGAGACTCACGATAGTGTTCTTTCCAGCCAGAGCTCATTAATACAGTTTTGGTCATGTTCAAAGACTTTTAAAAAATGGGTTTGGAGACAATTTTGTGTACAGTCTTTAATCACTAACCACAGTGTGTTTCTCCCGTCACTTCCGTGATTCCCAGAGGCTCGCATATAATGTATGGATCATGGCAATGGCTGCATTGTGAGGCCCATATAAAAAATTGTAATCAGTTGCTTTGGTGTCATAAAGTCACAGTCTACAATCTAGTATCAATGTGATAGGATAGGAATTGTCAGGCTATAGTTAGTTATTGGCTTAAAAAAAACAAAGCATCAACAAAATCTGCTTCTAGCGAGAGACATGTATGTTAAAAGACTATTTGAGGAAAAAAATGAGTGTAAATCCTTCCTTGTTTGAGTGACTTCTAGTAGTTCATATGTTTTCTAAAATAAAAATGTATGGAAAAAGAAGGCCTTTCCATGGAAGTTGGTAGGGCGAATATCTAGGGTCCTCATAAGTTCTGGCTTTCTGGAGTTTGTCATTAAAGTGTGGTTTTATGATTCCTCCAAAAAAGAAAGGGTGGAGGTAAGAGAAGTGAGGACCCAGAACAAGAGAGAGAGGAGGAAGAGGATGGGGAACAGTAATATGGACGAACTGGAGACTCATCTGTAAACTGGGGAGGAAATGGCTCCCGTAAGAAGTTTGCATGTAATATTTATCTGCTGCATTCATATAACATCTTGACTTAATAAAAGAAAAAGAAAAGAAAAATGAAAGAAGTCTGCAGCAAGACAATAAAAAGTTTCCTCCTCACACCCACAGCCTTAGGGGTTTTTCCTTTGAGCCTCAGAGCTTATCCCACTGAAACTCATCAATTTTTGCCTTTATGCTGGAAATGCCCGAAAACATTTGAAGCTTCGCAGCCACCCCTTGGGGTGAGAAGATTTCACAATGCCCGCTGAGCCACACAGCCTGTCCCCAGGGAAGGCCAGAGGGCCAGAGGGTAAGGGAGAGAGGCATTCTTTCTGTTCCTAGGCAGGGATCAAGTGCCCTTCCCCTGCCAGTCTGCAAACAAAGAAGTCAACCTCAAAGCTCTTGCCCCAGTGCGTGACCTCGGGGGCCAAAGGCAAAATACTTTATCTCTGGGTCCTAGTGACATAAGCTCCTCAGGCTCTGCAATTGTAGTTTATGATGTGACTAGAAACCTTTGATGGAATGACTATTGCCATCTATTTCTCTGCCCAGCCATTTATTATTCTATATATTTTTGAGGGCTGTGGGAAACTTTCATAACCAAAGCCTGAGCCAGGCTAAAACTTGTTCTATTTGGAATCTGTAATGAAGTCAAAACATGGCCTGGATTTTCTGAAAGGCTCCTCTGGCCGCCTGTAACAGCCCCAGGGCACAATCAGACAGGGATGGAGAAGGCCTGGGAGCAGATTTCGTTACCAAGAATGGGACAGAACAATGTTTGCCTCCAAAACAGTAGGGCTGCTGTTTACCTTCTCAGCTGGAAGAAGGGAGACATACATGCATTATTGCACATAAAGTGTAAACACCAGTTCTTTAATTTCTAAATTTTTAGGATTTTATTTTTTCTTAACTCTCCTTAAATAAAAAGTCAGGGAAAATTTTTAGCATAATTGATTTCCTGAATGAAGGAAATAAATTCTTCATTTCAGAAGTTTTGACCCTCTAAAGGGCTGTTACTTTGCCTAAAATGGAGGTATGGATTAGGCAGAATAAAAATTGTAAGACGTTTCCAGGTGATTATGGGGGTTGAGAACGCTTCCATCTGTGTGCTGTGTGTGTTGGCAGTGTCATTATTTCAGGGAACTACTAAGAAAAATCCAAGTCTCCCTTTGTTTGGATGTAAAACTTCATCTACTTTTCAGAGGCTCTTCCAAATTATTTACTAGCTCGAGTCTGCTCCCTCAAAAGGAGCCTTAGTGCCTAACAAAAGTGGTAAGTTGTAAAATGTAGGTCCTAATTTTTACTGAAGTCAAAGGTTAATAGTAAAAGGGGGGGTTGATCCCTCACTGTTTCAAGTTAATGTTTATTTTTCACCATCATTTAAAGAATTTTTCAGGCCCTTTTTTCACTGCTGAAAGCAGAGTAAGAGAACTCAGATTTCATGCCCCAGGGCTTGAATGAGGGAATAAAAACAGCACAACATTTGCATCTACTTAACTGCCTCAGTTCTCAGAGTCCCCTCTCAGTAAGAGGGGGGAAACCGTATCTCTAGGTTAAATGAAGCTTCTCTGAGATATTTGCCGAAAACACAATTCAGAGAAAAATAATCATTGTCAGAAATGACCTAGGAAGTCAAGGCCTTATGATTGAAAACACAAAGCTTAGAAAGGTGCATTCTCTTGCTTCTCTGCCTGCTTGGATATCAATGAACATCAGCTAAAGGTGGCTGAAGAACCAATTTCATGCATCTACTGTACGAGGAAATGAACTGAGCCAAGGGCAAAAATAAAATTATACAAATGTTATTATAGACTAGCCTGCTTCTGTCCTAGTTTAATTCAAATTTTAGTGCTGCAGGCTTTGCTTCTGGCAGTAGCCTTCCTGAATAAATCAACATTTGCTTACATCTAAATTATTAGGAAAGCATGTGACTTTGTTTATTGTATAAATTATACGCAAGGTTAAAGCATTAACTGTTCAACTGGCTTTGTTCAGTCGCCTCCCCAACTCTCCCCCAAATCATCTCTCCCCTAAATAGCAAATAAAAATCTGAAACTACTAATTGTTTTCCGACAAACCAAATAACAAAGCTGCATTATGAACCTGAGGTTATGGATGGAGAGCACTGTTAGGGGTGTGGCAGCAGACAGTCTTGGTGTTGAGGAAAAAGAAAGGTGCTCCGGCCCAAGAAATTGTTCACCTGAGCTCTGATGGGGCTTCAGCACAAAGGGAAATGGTGATCTGGTAAATACTTGGTTAAGTTGATTAAGGCAGCCAACCAAATGGGATAATTTAATACAAAACGAAAGACAGCCTTTTGGCTAGGATTTCAGTAAGCAAGGAATTTCAAATTATATTGCAATGTTGGACCCAAACACTTTTATTGCCTTTTCTGCTAGGAAGTTAGACATAGGCTGGAAAATGCGCTTCGGAACAACGATTTGTTTTTTGTTTGTTTTTCTCTCTGCACGTCACTGTGAAATGACTCCTGAAAGACCATCCATACGTGTTCGGGAAATAAGCATGGGCTTTGATAACTAGGCAGTTTGACTTTCTAAGTGTTTAGACAAGCCGAGTATCAGGTGTGTCCTCCTATGAGAACATCCAATTTAAATAAACATCAAGGGTTCAGAGTAGACAAATCCGAAGGTAATTGTTTGCTTTACAAAAGGTTCTTTCTATAAGGTCATCCACAAGATGCTTCTTTTTATTGACCTTTCCCACGGTAATAATTTGCAAAACTGTAATTAGATTCAATCTTTTCCAAAAATATATGTTTCTTTTTTCTTTTCAAGACTCACTGTAGAAACTCTAGCCTGCAGGTCAGAAGATTTTTGTACAGAATGATCTTTTCCAATCAATTATTTAAATCTAAGGCGTGCTCAAGGGGAGAATCAGTTTCCCATTCAACCACTTAGGATTCTTTGTCTCTGCATCCTCAACTGGGCTTTGAGACCCTGGACAATGATTCTTCTAATCTGGTCAATGGACCACCTGCAAGAATCACTCAGGAGTGGAGCCAGGCGTCTGCTCAGTAATGTGACTGGGCTGCATGTGCACTAACATTTGAGAACTACTTTTGCAGAGTCTAATATGGAAGCAAACTGTGTCATTCTCTCTACTCCCTCCCACGTGCTTTGCGTCATCTCCTAGTCATTGTGTCCTGCAGCCCAGCCCAAACGGCTTCCCAATCCCTGCCCTGCTTTGTGTTGGTCAAGAAGGGGATCTCTAGAGCACACTCAGTGCTAGATCTTGCTAGTCTAGCACTCAGTGCTAGACTCAGTGGTAGATCTTGATTTATATCAGGCGTTTATGAAAAATTGCCACACATAACTATAATTCTTTTTGAAATAACTTATATGTAAAATTAAATTGATTTCCGCTCCATCAATATCTGTAAGACAGAGCTTTTTAATTTTTTTTTTTTTTTTTTTTGAGGCAGGGTCTCACTTTGGTGCCCAGGCTGGTTACAAACTCCTGCCCTCAAGCTATCCTCCCCCTTCATCTCTCATGGTAGCTGGGACTGTAGGCACATGCCACAACGTCTGACTAATTAAAAAATTATTTTTTGGCCGGGTGCGGTGGCTCATGCCTGTAATTCCAGCACTTTGGGAGGCTGAGGCGGGCGGATCACTTGAGATCAGGAGTTCGAGACCAGCCTGGCCAAAGTGATGAAACCCCATCTCTACTAAAAATACAAAAAATTAGCTAGGTGTGGTGGCAGGCACCTATAATTCCAGCTACTTGGGAGGCTGAGGCACAAGAATCACTTGAACCCGGAGGCACAGATTGCAGTGTGCCAACATCATGCCACTGCACTCCAGCCTGGGCAACAGAGCGAGGCCCTGTCTCAAAAAAATAAAAAATTAAAACTAAAAATAATTTTTTTTTGAGGCAGGGTCTCACTCTGCTGCTTAGGCTGATCCCAGACTCCGGGGCTCAGGTGATCCTCCTTGCTCAGTCTCCTAAAGTGCTGGGGTTACAGGTGTGAGGCCCTGTACCCACCCTTAATTAATTAATTAAACAGGACGCACTGAAACTGTGTCCTTCTCCTCTTTCTCTTGGGGAGGACGAGAGGATCATCAGCGCTAAGTGGCAGTTGCAATAAAGCAACACCCACACCCTGAAAGTACTGTCTTAGAAACAGCTTTTTAATTGCAGCATATCAGAGTGAAAAAAAAAAAAAAAAACAAGAGATGTTGGAGTCAGACAATCCTGGTTTCAAATCAGCTTCATTGTTCATCCTCTTGTGATGTTTGGCAAGAAATAGAATGTCTCTGTGTTTAGTTTCCTTGTCTGTGATATGAAATACATTGCAAATATGCTAAGTGTTGAGAAAAGAATGAACAACGTGCAAGGAGTATTGGGGATATGTAGCTGCTCAGTAGATAATGATGATGATCAATATTCACCATCGACAAGTAGCTGTGGAATCCACAGATGGTGCCCATAAAAGGTTAACCAGTGAAGTGCTGGGACACTGTTGCTGAAGAAATATTGGAAGGTTCCTGGTGTGCATAGTTAGATTGGCCTCAGCCTCAGAACTGTTCCCTTCCTACCCAAATCTGGGGCCTGTCTCCTCTTCCAGAGTTCCCTGAGAAAGGAGACAAAGAAAGTATAGGCAGACATCATCGAGGGCAGCTGCTTTCAGATAAATTCTGTAGCTGGTATTTTTTACAGAGACTATGTGTTGGGATACATAAATTTACCTAGAAATTAATGTGATGAAGACTTTATACATGAAATGGGAACTTTGGGATACTGACAACAGATAGGCTAATGATTCTGTAGGTTTTTTGGGGGTTCTTTTTGGTTATTTATTTGCTGTTTTATTTTATTTTATTCTTGAAGAAGTCTTGCTCTGTCACCCAGGCTGGAGTGCAGTGGCGTGATTTCTGCTCACTGCAACCGCCACCTCCCAAGTTCAAGCAATTCTCTTGCCTCAGCCTCCTGACTAGCTGGGATTACAGGTGCCTGCCACCACGCCTGGCTAATTTTTTGTATTTTTAGTAGAGATGGGTTTTCATCATGTTGGCCAGGCTGGTTTCAAACTCCCGGCCTCAAGTGATCCACCTCGGCCTCCTAAAGTGCTGGGATTATAGGCATGAGCCACTGCACCTGGTCATGATTCTGTGGTATTAATAAAAGTTTTTCCAGTTCCCCAGCCCCAGTTAGGCACCATTGAATGCTGAGAACAATACTGAAGATGACATTTTTCTAGTGAACTAATCTGGCAGAAGATAATAGTAACCTTCCCAGAATGGTGTCTTACCAAGTTGTCGTCCTGCTTGGAGATGTTACACTATCCATTTGCAAGTATGTTTTGTTGTTTAATTATTATATCAAGCCTATGAAGTTGGTTTTATTCTTAGCCCCATGGTCCTGGGAATACTTTGGAAGTGGTTACATCTGAGTCATGGAGAATACCCATCGAATCACACTGTGTGGAGTAAGTCTCCATTGGAGAGATTTACTATTTGCTTTTTAGTATCCATTTACTATTTTTAAGGTAAAATGATACCTTAAGTTCCATCTGGGGACCCACCCTCTCCCACTCTTAGGCCACAGAGTTTAAAAAGCATCACATCCATTCTTAACATTCTCTTTTGTTAGAGGACTTGGGTCATTCATCCACCATGTGACCTAGTCGGAATGAGGCACAAAGAGACTGTTATTTTTTCCCAAGGTGAAAGCAGCAGGTGAGCTGGTGCTACCGTTGCCACCTTGCCACCACAGGTAAATCAAATAAGGCTAGTGAGTGGAGGAACACAGAGCCCACTGACAGTTGAACAGAAAATGGGTCTTGATGACATCATTGGAGCCTAAATGAAACTGTTCCTGAAGAGAGTCCCATCTTGGACTTTTTACCTATGTGAGCCAATAAACTTTCTTCTGCTTTAAGCTACTTTTGGTTGAGTGTTTTTTTGTTTTGTTTTGTTTTTTCATTTTCAACAGAAGAGAATTGATTTGGTCTGGCTGTTTCCCCACCCAAGTCTCATCTTGAATTGTAGTTCCCATAATCCCCACATGTCATGGGAGGGAACTGGTGGCAGCTAATTAAATCATGAGGGCAGTTTCCCCTATACCGTTCTTGTGGATGTGAGTGAGTTCTCTTGAGATCTTACGGTTTTATAAGCATCTGGCATTTCCCCTGCTTGCACTCATTCTCTCTCCTGCCACTGTGTGAAGAGGTGCCTTCTGCCATGATTGTAAATTTCCTGAGGCCTCCCTAGCCCTGCAGAACTGTGAGTCAATTACACGTCTTTCCTTTATAAGTTACCCAGTCTTGGGTGTTTCTTCATAGCACCATAAGAACAGACTAATACAAGAGTCCTAACTGGAAAACAATCTCTTTCTCCCTACTCTATGCCATAGTGAACTATAGACAGAGCTTGTCTGTTAGGTGGCTATTTTGCAAACCAAAGACAAAATGGAAGACTGGCAAGTCGTGGGCAGTTTTATGCTCAGAGATAATGTAAAATCTCCCCAACGTAGAGGACATTCTGCAGGGATTCTCGTTATAGACTATGATAGTTGTTCTTTCTATGTTAAAATCCTGATTATAGCTGGGTATATAAGTAATTTTTTAAAAAGACTTCATCAGACTCTTGTATCTATCATCTTGTATCATGAGGCCAGATTTCTACTTCTGAAATGGCAGAGACATGAGCTAAAAAGATTCTGGATCCTTAGGGACTTCAGAGAGCAAGCCATCTTATAGCTCTGGTTTGCCAATATTTGAATTCTTCCTTGAGAAAGAAATAAACCTCTGTCTTATTTAAGTCACTGTTATTTTGAGTTTTTGTTAGCATCAAGCTTAATCCTAATTAAGACTCCCTGATGGCAGTTCCAAGAATATGTTTTACAAGAAATTATTTTCTCAATCTTTCTTAGACTATCCATGAAACTGAAAATGAGTACCGCTAATGTATGTAAAGTCCATATGATGTTGATATATTCTTTCAATATATATTATATAAGCAACTGCAGCAACATCCAAGTTAGATTCAGTGCAAACCAAAGTGACCCAATTCTTCCTATGTGCTGGGTGCTGTGCTAGACCAATGAGATTTGTCAGTGATAAAGGTGTGAGTTTATTTTTTCTTTCCTTAATATTTCTTTTATAAAATTCTGTACTCTTTGACTGATAACCCTATTTTTCTCTTCCCCTGGTGCCTGGAAACCACTATTCTATTCTCTGCTTTTATGAATTTGATCATTTTACACTCCTCATGTTAAGTGGTATCATGTAGTATTTGTTCTTCTGTGTCTGGTTTATTTCATTTACCATAATGTCCTCCACGTTCATCCATGTTGTTGCAATTGGCAAGGTTTCCTCTTTCGTTCTTTAAGTCTGAATAGTATTCTAGTGTAGGTATGTACCATATTTTCTTTCTTTCTTTTTTTTTTTATAGACATGGGGTTTCACCATCTTGGCCAGGCTGGTCTCGAAGTCCTGACCTCAGGTGATCTGCCCGCCTCGGCCTCCCAAAGTGCTGGGATTACAGGCCTGAGACACCACATCTGGCCTACCATATTTTCTTTATTGGTTCATCTGATGATGGACATATAGGTTATTTCCATATCTTGGCTATTGGGAATAATGCTGCAATGAACATAGTAGTGAAGGTATCCCTTTGAGATCCTGATTTTCCTTTTTTCAAATATCTACCTACCTAGAAGTGGGGTTGCTGGGCCATATGGTTGTTTCATTTTTATTATTTATTTATTTTTGAGACTAAATTTTGCTTTGTCACCCAGGCTGGAGTGCAGTGGCATGATCTCAGCTCACTGCAACCTCCGCCTCCCAGGTTCAAATGATTCTCCTACCTTAGCCTCCTGAGTAGCTGGGACTACAGGCGTGTACTACTGCACCTGGCTAATTTTTGTATTTTTAGTAGAGACGGGGTTTCACCATGTTGGCCCAGCTCGTCTTGAACTCATGATCTCAGGTGATCCACCCACCTTGGCCTCCCAAAGTGCTGGGGTTACAGCTATGAGCCACCATGCCTGGCCATCATTTTTAATTTTTTGAGGACTCTCTATGCTGTTTTCCAAAGGGACTTACCAATTTGCATTCTCACCAACAATGTACAATGGTTCCCTTATCTCCACATCCTCAATAACAACTTGTTATCTTTTATCTGTTTGTTTTATAATAGTCATACTAACAGATGTGAGGTGATATCTCATTGTGGTTTTGATTTCCATTTCCCTGGTGATTAGTGATATTGGGCTCCTTTTCATATACCTGTTGGCCATGTGTATGTCTTCTTTGAAAAATGTTAAGGTCCTTTGCCCTTTTTTTTTGCTATTGAGTTGTAGAAATTATTTTTATATATTGGATATTAACCTTGATCAGATATATCATTTGCAAATACTTTCTCCCATTCCTTCTGCTGCCTTTGCATTTTGTGTATTGTTCTCTTTGCTGTGTAGAATCTTTTTATTTGGATGTAATCTCATCTGCCTACTTTTGCTTTTGCTGCCTGCCTTTTGGTTTTATATTTAAAAAAAATCACTGCTGAGGCCAATGTCAAGAAGTTATTTTCTTATGTTGCCTTCTAGAAGTTTTACAGTTTCAGATCTTGTGTTTAAATCTTTAATCCATTTTGAGTTGAGTTTCTGGTATGGTCTAAGATAAATGTCCAATTGTCCAATTTGCATGGAGATATCCAGTTTTTCCAGTAACATTTATTGAAGAGACTATCCTTTCCCCATTGTGTATTCTTGGTACCCTTGTCAAAAATTATTTGTCCATTATGCATCAATTTATTTTTGCACTCTCTATTCTGTTCTGTTAGTCTATATGTCTGTTTTTATGCCAGTACCATAGTGTTTTGATTACTGTAGCTTCATAACATATTTTTATTTTATTTTAATTTTTATAGAGACAGGTTCTCACTATATTGGCCAGGATGGTCTCAAACTCCTGGTCTCAAGCAGTCCTCCTGCCTTGGTCTCCCAGTGTGCTGGGATTATAGGCATGAGCTACCACACCTGGTTTGTTACATATTTTGAACTCAGGATGTTTGATATCTCCTTCCAGTTATGCTCCTGATAAAAGTGTTGAGTTTTATACACAAATTTAATTTTCAGTCTAAAATCAATTAAATTATACATTCAAAGATAAGATTTTGAGGTGTTTTAGGAGAGAAATGAGAAGCAAGGTTCTATTGTAGTTGGATGAATGTTGTTCATAGGGGCATAGACACTGAAAGCTTCTGCTTCACAATAGCTATGGTTCAGATGCTATAGGGCTGAAAATAATTAGGGCTGAAATTAATAAACTACATAGGAATCACTGGATTCAATTCTATTTGTTTCACAGAGGCACTTCACATTGCTAGGTGACTTTGAAGGAAAGCAAGTATTTTTCAGCTTTAAAATTAGAAAAATTAGTGGGTTAGGCAATCTATGGAAAATTTTGAAATAATTATTAGTAATTTCTCAGTAGTAGGTAAATTCAAATGTTCATTCCCATGTTAATAGATATTGAGGCAGAAAAGAAAAACTAAAAATGATCATGTGAGTGGTATTGGTGGAAACTGGGAATAACATTCATATCCTTCAGCTTGGTGACTACCCATCTAC